CGTCCAAACCAATACGCCCACTGTCCTTCCTCTGGACATGTCCAAACCAATAAACCCACTGTCCCTCCTCTGGACACGTCCAAACCAATACGCCCACTGTCCTTCCTCTGGACATGTCCAAACCAATAAACCCACTGTCCCTCCTCTGGACACGTCCAAACCAATACGCCCACTGTCCTTCCTCTGGACATGTCCAAACCAATAAACCCACTGTCCCTCCTCGGGACATGTCCAAACCATCTCAGTCTAGTCTCTTGAACTCTATCTCCCAGTCCCTCAGCCCGGTCTGTCCCTCTGATGTCATTCGAGGTACAGCACATTTAAAACATTTAGTCTACAATCTGTTCACTGTGCATTAATTGATTTAAGTCTTTGTCACCCAGCAGAATCTAGCAGGTCTAATTATAAACACACTCACACRCAGACAGACRCACACACACTTTACCTTGCGTGCTTCCACCTGGGCCTCCTGCTGGCAGCACTGTTGGCAGTTTGGCTGCAGCTTGGTGAGGCTGAACTCTCCGAGGAGGTCACAGGAGCTGCACAGCAGGTTGCTGGAGAAGCCCAGCTCCCTGCACGCCTCAGACGACAGATCAGCTCCAAACGCTGACAGCTGCAGAGAGGGAGACGACAGGAAGGAGATGCAGTTTTAATTAGGTATACACCTCAAACTGAAAGGAAAAAAAGTTCTAGTAATACAAAGATATTAAACTGACAAAAGGAATAAGAAGATAATTTGTCAAAATTCAGCTAATGAAAATCAGAGATTTCCTTTGAATTTTGGTTCAACAGAGTCATTTAAAAGTGGTCTTGACCAAAAAAAAGAATGGTACTTAAAATTTTGTTGCCCAGTCTTTTGTGGCAGTTATTTGATGTCTGTAACTCTGAGATTTCTGCATCTGTCCACAGGTAGTGTGATCCACTCCTCATGAACCAGAGACAGCTGGAGTTGTCTCAGGTCTGAAGGGTTCCTCCTTCAGATGTTTCAGCTCCTTCAATGTTTTTTCAGATTTAGATCAGGGCTCAGAAGGCCACTTCAGAACAGTCCAATGTTTGGTTCTGATCATTCTTGTGTGTTTTTAGCATGCWCTGAGTTATTATCCTGTTGGACCAATGACCTGACTGAGACAGCAYATTTCACTCCAGAATCCYTTGATRGTCTTGAGATTTCCCTGTACCCTGCACAAACCCAGTTTTGTCTCATCTGTCTAAAGGACATTTTYCTACAACCATTTTGGCTTCTTATTATGCATTTTTGAAAATCAGCCTTGTTTTATTTTTTTAATGATCTTATGTCTTCCATCAAGTCCACTTTGGATCAAACAGACTGATGGTGATTCTGACACCAATGACTCCTRCTTCCCGAGGATTCTCAGGAAGAAGAACCTGAGAACTGAGCTCTTAGTGTCCTCCTATTGTTGTTCGGTGGAGTTGGTGCTGAACAGTGGCATCTTCACTGTGCTTCTCCAGCTGCACTGTGGTGGAGAGGAAGCAGCTCCAGAGGGTCATAAACACTGCCCTCTTCCATCTCTTGAGATCTGCAGGACTCGCCGTCTTCGGCAAGCCTGCAGGATAATCAGGGACCCCTCACATTCCAGTCACCACCTCTTTGAACGTTTACCATCAGGGCAATAAAGTCAAGAACAAACAAACTAAAAAAACAGCTTCAAGCTGTTGTTGCCCTGCACAATGCAAATACTGCAGACTCATCCAAACCATGATCATTCAAATCTGCTCAACTCTGTTTGGTGAAATACAAACACACATACACATCAAGTGCAATATATCCTGAATATATCAAAACTGCTGTTATTTTCTATTTTACTCTTCTACTTAAACTTTACTTCTTCTATTTCATTGTATATATTTATCGTGGTTACTTAATTACTGTCCTGATGCATCTCAGTAATCCAGGTAAAAAAAAAATAAAAAAAAATTGTATAGGTCTTCTGGAC